GAACTGCGATACACGTAAGAAATTATTTCATAACAATTTTTTAGATTTACCATCATGCTATCCGTTTCAATTGGGCTTTTGGCACTTGAAATCATTAGTTTTATTTGTGGTGTTACCATGTTTATGAAGACGGTTAATTTCTTTTGTACGTCTCCATTTAGTTTATTCTTTTAGCTATTATTGCTCACTTCAGCGGCACCGTGTCCACCGTATTATTCATAGTGAGGAAGTGGACAATTTTCCGTCTGTACTTTATTTCTGCCGGCACAATCATTTTCCCTTTCTTTGTAGAATTATATATTTTTATCACATCTATTTGTCTCAGGCAGAGTTTGTAAATGTTTATCGAACTTGGTTTATCACATGTTCTATCATATGATACTTGTCAATTTTCCACAAAATAAATGCCTAAGCGGTGACTTCTTAAATCCGTAGTGCAAAATAGTTACACTGAAAGATAAAATATGAGGAGATACGTTAAAAATTGCATATTAATAACGAACAGACTCGCAGCATTACATGCATTGTGGACCCCAAATACTTACTGAAACAATAGAGTTGCATCCCCGTTGGTGCAACACAGCATGTATAAACGGCAAAGGTTTGTTTTCTTATTTAGCAATCCTTAAATCAAACGTCAGTTATGCCTGAGAACTGGTTGTACTATCCCCTGCGATCTTGTCTAAATGAAATTTACCAAAACATTTTATTGCTGTATTTTATTTTTCTTCAATGGAATTATGAGGACCATCCAATACTTTGAAATAAAACAGAGTAAAACGGATCGAGACAGGGCTTAAAAATTAGGCGGTGGCTGAGGCTGATGACCGGCCGTCGCTATCTGGGCATAGTGGAATATTGCATTCTAAAGTATAGTACATAGGCATAGATTCTATCTAAGATCCATACTGCTACGCAAGTATTCCCTCGTTAACTTTACAGCCAAAAAATATAACGCAACCCAGTAGCAAATATAGGTCACACCACATATCATCCTTTCATAAGTAGGTGCTAGGACTAAATGACGCACTATTAATAATCTAGACACTGATAGGCAATTTAAAGAACTCAAATTGCCGCCCGTACATCTACGATAAGGAAGAAGCATAAAAGCCCCTGGTTTCAGCCATAAATTGTGTCCTGTTTGAAATGCATAAAAGTCGACCAAATTGGTTGGCGATAACTCATTAGGTTGCTCAAAAGTAGGGCCCACCAGTGGTCAAGGACAGCTAGTTTACACAGTCCTGTGGGTATATAAAGACTCATTCTCTGTACTAGCACCGAATAAGGGTTTTGTAGCATCTTTGCCACTAAATAGCCTCAATGCCACCTAAGACGGAAGGCAGTGTCTTACCGATATGACAGTCCAGATTACTATGTCGTAGAAACGGACTTGAGTGATTATCCGAAACGTCACTTTCGGTGATTGCATCTTCTTCTGAATGCCTTTCTCAAACTCAATTTTCTGCTTCTATCGGCTTTGACTGTTTCACTCTTCTGGTCTAGAGCATTAATCAGCAAACTTTCGGTTAATGGGCAGTGTTTGTTTTCGACGCTCAAAGCTCAAACCATGAACATTTTGCAAACAAGACAGCACATTATCCGCTATATAGTTTCTTTTAAAGCAACCTATGTGGCTAAGATACATGTTATCAGTTGATGAGTGCCTCATATCACACTTTTTCTTCTCTGTACTAAATACCCTTCGTGCGGTTTTCAATTAGCATCTTGCTACGTGATATGGCAATCTGAAAAGGCCCGAATAACGGCTCCACCCTAGGGCGCCAATTAATGTACAGAAACTGCTGGAATAAGCGAACTGAAAACATTTACTTTTGTGACTATCTGGTTGGGCGAGTGGGTTAGTAAACATTTATTGGGGGCTGTACAGATTCTGGGTTAGTCAAGAGTAGCAGAATGACAAAATCTATGTTCGTTTTTGTGCAGACTGGATCATAAATTTAACATGCTCGCGGTCAGTTCCGAATTGGAAGTAGTGGGGTGCCAGCTCGAGTAGCCATTCCGACTTGATTGCACTCACGCCAGACACGCATGTTGCCGTTTGAGAGTCAGGCATCGCAGCACTAGTCG